CAGGGAGCCCGATGCGGGACTCGATCCCAGGACTCCAGGATCATGACCTGAGCCGAAGGCAGTTGCTTAACCAACTGAGCCACCCAGGCGTCCCTGGACCAGATACTGATCAGTGTAAGCAAGTCCCCAGGAAAAGTAGGTGCCTTTTGTCTAGAGCCCTCGGACTTGCCGGGCAAGTTAAGAACAAGACTTCTGTCCAGATTCACTTCGACTCCTATCTTTATCAGGTGCTGGACTCTGGTTTCACTAAATCTTGATGGCCATAAAATAATAAGTGTGTTTTGCTTATGCCCGTTCCTCTGCCCTTTGTCCTCTGTTTGTAAACACCCCCCAACCCCCTACCCTCTGTCCTTCCCTGTCCAGGGAGTGCTGGAAGCATCGCCCTGCTCTTGGGAGCTTAGCTTTGTTGGCCCCCAGAGTGTCCCCTCATCCCTTCTGGTCCAGGTCATGGCTCCTGAGGAGTTTGTAGCCCCTAAGGAATAGAGTGGAATGCACAAAGCATTCTCGGGTTGGGACGTGGAGCCTCCATGGATGGCTCGCTTGCCCGGTAAGTGAGCTATGGAATATCTGGATGGGAGTGATATTTGTGTTTTGATAAGAACAACTGCAGGTTCTGCTGATCATAGTTCTTGACACCTGCATGTGATACACACATAGATACAGACACCCCTTATGGGGGACACGCCTAGCTGGGCCAGAAGTTTGCATTGTTTCCTTTAAATCCTTACAAGGATCCATGAGGTGGATGGCTAGTATCTCCATTGGAGGCAAGTAGCTTTGGTTGTCCAAAGGCACGCCGCTGGTGGGTATAGAACCAAGACCTTCACCTTCACCACTCTCACTCTGAGGTCCAGGCTTTAACTGCTGTCCATCTCAGAGAACAGAACATTCTGGAGCTGGAGGGGGCTTCAGAGGAGATTCAAAAACCTTGAATGTCCCAGCTGCTCTGTAAGCCAGTTAAATTTTTGAGTGGGGCCTGGCTTAAGTCATACGATTTTGTAAGTTCTGCAAGTAATTCTGAGAGGCAGCCTGGATTAAGAACCAGTAAAATCCAACACCTTTATTTATAAATGATGAAAATGCGACCCAGCGAGGGGCTTGCCCTAGTTTATACTTTTATTGAGTAGCAGAGCTGGAGCTAGGTCTAGGATTTCCAAGGCGTTCAAGTCCATACATGGACCCTATGTGGCCACAAGCACTGCACAGAGGTGCTGATTAAAAACCTTGAGGTGGGGTTGATTCCAGACATGAAGCCAGATACACCCATGCTCCCTTCCCCCTCAAACCACAAGGTGCTCATTTCCCCAGACTCCGTCAACAAACGCCAATTTGAACATTTAGGTATTTAGTTTGTCGTTCTACTGGCCCTTTCAGGGATCATATTTAGAGTTATAAGGTCCTGTTTGGCAGCCCTCTGCTAGCTCGGGTAGCAAATCTGGTGCAAATGCCCGTGTCCCTCGCAGCCATTCCTCTGTGTCTTCCCCATGCCTCTGGCCTGCCATGTGGATGCATGGTGCCACCTTCAGGCATATCTCTCTCTCCTCTCAGGCTGGGCCATGGCTACATGGCCCAGTTTCACAGGGCATCTCTGGGACCAAAGGTCTCAGAGGTTGCACTTAGGTCTTGAGAATCGAATTCCCCGAGGGTGGAGATAGAGGTGGTCGGGAGTGGAGGAGGGTGCATGATCATGAGCTGGCTTGTCTGCTGGAGGAAGGTCAGGAATCTGGGAGGGCAGTTAGAAATGCCAGCATATTCTTCCCTCTTCTCTGGGAAGCCAGCCAACAATGGGCCAACCATGGGCCAGTGTTCTCCTCCAGCAAGCTGCAGGCTACGCTGGGCGGCACCCCTCAGGAGGGAGGGGGTGGGGCATTTGGGGGTGTACCGTGGGAAGGAGAACAGAAGGAGCTGAGGCTCCTGAGGTGACCGGGGAGCCTGACCTCGGGAGGGGATTCCCCCTTCCTGTGGTGAGGTGGAAGTTTGTGTCATCTTGTCATAGATGCTTTGTTTCATCTTGCTATGTCACTGTGATGTTTGTCCGGCAGCCTTCTCTTTCCATTCCTTATAAGGTGTTCACGTCCTCAGTCAGAGCAGCTCCCTGTCAGCATGGTGGGGGAAGCCCTGCTGGTAGGTGCCTGAGCCTCTGAGGTGGGGGATTTGGAGGCCAGCCCCTTCCCCATCTCTGCCCACACAAGAGAGGCTGTCAATTTGGGAAAAACAAACAAGAAGGCACATAATGGTGTCTGTTCTGGGTGTTACTACAGCATCATTGTCTCCCCAGGAGTCCCCAGCTGACATCAGTCCTCCAGGAGTTGGAACAAGAGCCCAAAGAGGCCTTTACAGGGATTGGGCCTTGATTAGGTTTGGGGAACATGAAGTTCAGAGTCTGGTAGATTCTGGTCAAAGATTAACGAAAGGAAGGAAAGGGACTTGAGGCAACGTTAGAATCTAAGTGATGGTTAAACATATGAGTGCTGGAGCAAACTGGTCTGGGTTCAAATGACCCCTAACTGGATCCAAGTTACCAAAAATGTGCCTCATTTTCTTCAGCTGCAAAGTAAGGATAATTAAATGTCTATACCCCCAGAGATGTAGTGAGTATTGATTGAGTTAATACATATAAAGGGTTTAGAACGGGTCGGGGGGGAGAGAGAAGGGCACGGAATGGAGTCACCCCAGGACCGGCAGGCCAGTCTCCTGTTCCGTCCGAGGCTGGGTTCCCGTCTGTGCTCAGTAACACAACAGACTCACTTTTTCCCTCTGGTTTTCGGAGAGGAGCACGGAAGAGGGCCCGGTGTCTGGGCTGTTGAGCTGTTGTGCAGGTATGGAGGGCCACGCCAGCTTGAGTCAGGTGGCGAATCCCCAGGGATGTTCCTGGAGCCTACCCTGTCCCACAGACGAGGACTCAGACGTGACTCACCGTATGCAGGTGGTGCCTGGGCCTGAGTCACCTGGTGCCCCTTCCTCTAACACCTGCGATTCAGCGTGCGCAGGCTGGACCTGGCTCTCTCATCCTCCTTAAACTCTTCTCTCCGTTCCTCTCTCCTTCCTTCCTTTCCTTGTTCTTTATCCCTTGATCTCCCATTGAGCAGATCTTGGCTGATCTCCCCGACAGATGGATAATGGAGACGGGAGCTTCTTAGGCCACCCCCACACCCTGTCAGACATTGCCAGGAATGACGGAGAAGCACACAGCATGCTGCCTACCATGCATGGTGACATTGCTGTAATCTGAGGGTAGGTGCCTCCAAAAGACCCCTCTCTCTGCCGCTGACTGCTGCAGGAATTTCCACTCTCAGCTGTCCGTTCTGGTGACTGGACTCCCAGACTGTTCCCTCTGAGAATGCAAGTATACCCACAGTGCATGGGGACTCCTGAAACTATAGCCATATGATATCATTACATGAAGAGTGAGCACCTACTAGGTGCCAGGCACTGTTCTCAGCACTGGGAAAACAGTAGTGAACAAAATGGACAAAAATCTCTACCTTCTTGGGCATTACATTCTGGTGGGACGAGTCAGGAAATAAACATGATAAATAGATATATAGTTGGTTTAAAGGTGGTAAGTATTGCAAACAACAACAAAAAAGACCCAGTCTACCCATAAGATAGGGTAGGTGGAGTTGGGAGTGGGATGGGGCAGGCAAGTTGGTTGTCATTTTAAAGGGTGGTCAGAGTCATTGAGAAAGTAGCATTTGAATAAAGACTTGAAAGAGGTAAGACAGTTAGCCTTGAAGACGCCCAGGGGAACCATGTTCCAGGCCGAGAGAGCACCTGGGGCCAGAAGCAGCCTGGTGATTTGGAGGCGATGCACCTGGGATGAAGGGAGCGAGGGGCTGAGACAGAGAAGTAATGGGGGTGTTTGGGTCATGCAGGGCCTCACAGACTCTCTCTGAGGGCTTTGGCTTTGACCCTGACCCTAACGGGGAGCTAGTGCAGGGTTCTGAACGGGGGAGTGACGTGACCTGTTGTGTGGGGTCTCATGCAGACCAGTTGGAGGCTATTGCGGAAGTCCGGGGAAGAGAGGCTCAGGCCAAGATGGTGGAAGCTGCCTTTGGAAGGGGAAATAACATCGTAGCACGAGGTGGGTGCAAGAGAAACCACAGTCAGGGAAAACCTGACTAGCCGCTTCCCTGAGCGCACGTTCTGATGAGCCAGGTCTGGGTGGTGTTGGTGGTGGTGCTGAGGCTGAGGGCTCCAGAATGGGATGATGGGAAGCAGGGCATGAGAGAAGAGTACGCCGAGGGAGCCTGGGGCACCGTAGTGACGCCCCCACCTGCCCTTTAGCCCTGGCCAGGTCCTAACCCAGCCTGTGGCTCTGTTTTAGGCTCCTTATCTCTGAACAAATTAGGTTCTGAAGTTCAAAGCCAGTGCCTGGGGCCCTGCCATTCCCCCCCCCCCCCCCCCCCCCCGTGGCGGGTGTGTGTGTGTGTGTGTGTCTAGATTGACCTCCCCCTCTGGGGAGTGCTCAGTGTCCCTGAGGAGGGAGGCTGACTGGGCTCCCTTGGGGTCTGCAGAAAGGATGGCCTGGACTGGGCCCAGAGAGTGTGGGGGGCCCAAACAGAGCAATTGCCACTTTCCTCTGTGAAGCCAAACCCCTGCTGGAACCTGCCCCAGCCTGTGAAGTCTGAGACACTGAAGGCTTATTTACCTGGGCTCCTGGCCTCCTAAGAGAGGAGAAGGAGGGGGATTTGAAGGGCTCCAGCGACTCAGTGTGCGGCCCACCACACGCCCGCCCTGCCTGGTCTGAGGATCTGGGATTGTCACACGGGCTCCTGCTGGTTAACTATTAATGAGTTCTTTGTCACATCCTCTTTCCTGGTGGTGGGGCAAGGAGGGGTTAGTTCCAGGAGGGTGAACACTTCCTGGAAGCCTTGAGTTCAGGGAGCTGGAGAAGTGGAGAGAAACAGACCAGGCAGGTGGGCTCAAAACCCCGGGATGGGGCTGGGGGGTGGCATCAGTGATCTTTCTCTGGAGGACGTGATAGGGGTCTCTCTGGGGTCTTGTTGCAGCGGCTGGCCCATGAAGGGAAGCTGCTCGTACTGACTCGGGCTGGCTGACTTCAGCCAGATTTCACTGGAATTCTTACAGGGGTCTAGACACTAACATTTAGCGGAGTATCTGTTATGTGTGTAAACAACTTAATGCCCGTTTGCTAATTACAGTACTTCCCCTGCCCATCTCAACTTATTGGACTGAATTAGAACCGAAGGGTTAGAAATGCCCAGTTTAATCCACAAAATCCTACATTTTCCCCTTAAGGTTTCTCAAACCAATTTCTTGGACTTAACCCTCAAACTGTAGAGAACTTTCGGCTTGGGGGCCACTGACAGCCTGGACTGGGTAGTTAAGAGTCGCCTTTAAATAGAAACTTCAAGGCGCTGTGTTCCAAAACAATGCCACGCAGGCTCTCCTACAACTGCAGGGCCGACATACGGACTGGCTGACCTTCCACCTCTCTCTGAAAGCCCCCTGACCCTAAGCTGGGGGCCGAGCGTCCTCTGAGACCAGCCTCTCGGTCTAGGCCTGGTTACTGCCATGTCCAGTGGCCCTCAGGCAGGAGGGCACCAAGAGTCCCACACAGGAAGCTGGGTCCTGAGGCCTGGGGCGGGGTGGGGGGGTGGGGGGCGGGCCGAGGAAGTTGGTCTAGTTATGCGTCAGGTCAGGTCTGTTTTCTGGCCCTCCGGGCTGGCATTCTTGCCCGGGGAAGGAGGGGCTGGGAGACCAGCCCTTAGGAAGCTGGGGGCATGACTCACAGGTAGTTACCTGTCCTAGGGCTCCCTGCCAACCTGCAGAGGGATCTGGAGGGGAGGCATTTAGAGGTTATTCCTGTTTATTCCTCTTAAGCTTTCCTTGGGTGAGTTGGGCTTTGACCCCCTTCCTGATGAACCTAAAGCTCCTGCAAATTCCCCCCCAAGCAGGGATTTTCCACTTTTTAAGTTTTCCCTTGGGAGGGGTCTGGTGGTTTCCAGGGTCCTGGATGTTTGGGTCCATTCACCTTGTAGCCCAGTGACAGGTCTGGGCAATAAAAGCCTACACACGAGCCCTGATCTTTGTGTTCTCTGCTTGGTCTTCTGTCCAGGGCTGCCCAGGACAGAAGACGAAGCTGACTCCTGTGGGCCTTGGGGAAGTGCCAAATGCAGTGCCTATCACAAATGTGAGTGCCCTTCTCTGCCTCCTGGGAGTCACTGACAGTCGCCTGGGGCTTTCTGTTTGCAGTGGCTCCCTTCACCACCATCCCGCCCCTGCCCGCCCCCACAGGCACCCATAGGCAGCCGGGACCGATGAGCTTTCTGTGAGGCCTCTGAGACCGACCCACCTGCCCAGTCCTGTCCTGGGGGGTGGGGGTGGGGGTGCAGTGACGGCAGATGGGCGTGCCAGCCGCCGGATTCCTGAGAACCGCCCTGCAGTGGGCGACGCCCAGCTGGGGAGTCTCCAGAGGTAAGGCCCTTCTTTAAAAACTGGGAGCCAGGAGAGGAGACCCCACATTCAAGGGGTGCTGTTAGAGGCCATCTAGAGAGAGAAGAGCGCAGTACGGAGCAAGGTACGTTACCTGCCTTCCCCTGCCCGGTGGGGGCCAGGCGCGGGAGCAGGGCTGTCTGTGTCTTTGGGTGTCTGGGGCCTGGCTGCAGGGCCTGATTCATTCCTCCTTCAGGGAGGTCACCTGCAAAGGCTAGGTCAAATGTCTGCCATTGTTTGGGTTGCTTTTTCACATCGGAGAAGTGTCTCAGTGACTTAGAAGAAAGCAGCTTCAGATCCGGGCTGAACACAAAGAGAAGTGGAAAGTGTGGGCTGGCCCAGCTAGAGCTCTTCCAAGGGCCACTCCGATGCCTGGTTGTGGGGGATTCCAGCCTGGGGGCAGGAGGGCAGAAAGAGCACCGGATGGACACCAAAAAGTGGGTCTCCCTCTTGGGCCATGATTAGCTGTGCAACCTCAGGCCACCTGTCTCTTCCTGGGGCCCCTGACTCTTCTGGGAGAGGATTGGAAGGCATGATTTCTAGGTATTAGGATGTGGACTGTAAAGACACCAGGAGGGGCCCCAGCTCCCTCTCTGCTCCTGCCTTGCCACCCCCACCCCCCCGCCCTTTTTCCACCCTAGCCAGAGGACCTTGTGGCTGTCTTTGGAGCAGACACGCATCCAAACCAAGGCAGAGCTGGGCACTGCATGAGCAGGGGTGGGGCATGCCTCTGCAGGCTAGGCTTGCCGGCCTGCCTCCTGGAGGGACGCTTCAAGTATCCAGCGTCAGCCTCCGGAATCCGGGCTCTGCGGCTGTCCTCCTGCACAGCCCTGAGCCATAATGGGAGCCATTTTGAGATGCTTCCAGTTCAGATGAAATCCTCACTCACTTTTTCTTTTTTTT